AAAGCTTATCAATACATCAATGCTCACCAAATAAGGTCTCATGTTGTATCCAAGGTAGTAAGGCTCTTCAGGGTCGAGTGTAGCAAGATACTCGTACATATGCTCCATAATTACATATGTGTCATCGTCAGCCTAAACAGTAATCTTGGACCGCATTAATGCTCATCATTTAGGAAATGAGAGTACTTTTCCCCGTATCAGTCACAAAACAAATTAAGTACATGACCGCGTTCATACTTCAAGACTTCATAAATTAGGAGCGAGGATCAGGACATCGGCGAATGTTTTGATGGGGAGATTAGGGGAGTACTAGACCGGGATAGTTTTAGATTAGGACATTTCGCTGGAATATTAGACACGTATCGGCTCAAATCGCTGGAGAGTAGATTGCGAGATTGGGATGTGGATAATAGAAGTAACCTTGTTGACGACTCGCGCGCTTTTGCGACTTCGAGCCGCGTGGTGACCAGAGCGAGCGCCGCCGCCTCACAACAAATCTGTGGAATTTCGAGCTTTAAATACGCAATACTTCGATGCGACAAAATGTTTTCACTGATATTCGGTGTGTCAAACTTATTGGAAGGTACACATGTGAAAGTGCGGTCGAATGATGTGTTACAGCATTGAAAAGGCAAGTTTCACTTACTTTTGCTTTAGTGATTTCAAAATTATTTTGGACGTGGTTGTTTCGGTAAAAACACATATCTTGCCACACGAGTAGCTTTGTACTCACTTCTAATATTCTTTTTTATCTACATGTTCGTGTTAATGAAGAGAAAATGAGGAATGAACTGAACGGATATTTTCGTCCGGTCCGAAAAACCTCTGCCAAACTAAAGAATATTTGGTCATTCTATAAGCCGCGTGGTTCTTGGTTATGTTGTGGTATGGCCTAAAAATGAACACAAAAAACCTGGGAAGAAATGGCGCGTTCAAGAAAAAACTGAATGTGAAGGGTGTGGCAACTATAGTTGCCACAATGTCCATTGCGGCGTGCAAAACGCGGCAAACCTAGTTGCCGCGCTGTCGTCAAGGTGCTAAAAGAGCAGGAGAGTATGAGATTGGAAAATTCCGCTAGAATGATTGCCCAGGAGCCGATCGACCTGTACGTGGAAGCTAATCTCTTAATCTCCGTGAGCAAAGAAGTGTCTGGCTGCCTGGACGACATCATCCTGCGTCTTTAGTGCCACTGAGTTTAGTCTCCTAGATCTCCAAAGTTGGGTGGACTAAGTAAGATTGGGAAAAGCTGAGTCTAGAGCCTTCCTGAGGTTAGTCTGCGTCTATACTTGACCATTTGCAGGTCAGACTTACTCTGCCCCACAAAAAGCTTGAATAATCTGCCTGGACGAACGTTAAGAACTTGTCGTTGGCTAACGTTAGGATTGAGCACAATTCGGTCACGCCTCATGCATGAATGAGTTCTAATTTAGATGGCTCATGTAACTTTCTGAATTGATTTATATTCGCGAGGTTTTCCCATGCGCCTCCCGATGGTCCCTTTACCATCCGATTATTTGCGTGGGCGTTGCTTGAGTCACGCGAGTGAACACCTTAAAATACCGGCTGATGTTTACACAGGTGAGTCATCGCGAAAGAGGCTGGCGTTTTTCTATGGGCGTTGACGTCATCGCCTCCGATAAAAGATAGCGATTCCCCTTAAATAAGCAGTTCGCTGCTCATTCTTATCAGTCGATCTCGACCACGATTCCCTCAAGTGCTATGTCCTTTCTATGGAAACCCGTACGGCAACTATCAGCCCTATCCTCCTCCTCCTCAGGGTTTCTATGGAGGCGTTCCAACCGTCGTTCCTCCACCAGTCGTTTATGCGCCACCGCCTCCAGTCGTCGTCTTAGACGATCACCATCATCATCATGGTCATCACCATCATCACGGATTTATTCATGAAATGTTTCATCCGTTCCATCATCACGGTCATCACCATCACCACCACTGCTGACCGGAGCAGCACGTGATCTTCAGTGAAAACTTCTGAGTAATTTGTGTGACTTTTTATTTATCGTGTACATATGTGTAAATATTTGTTTTGTCAGACGTGTAACGCCATTATTGTTCCAATAAATGTCGATTCAGTCTGTTTCCCTTCAATTACCCGAGCATCAAGCTTTTGCGTCATGTTATATCCGACATGATAACAAGATTCTTCTAGGAATCTCGACGTGAGGATTCGAATTCCATTGTTTAGGTGTTTGAAAAAGGGGTTTGTTGGAGGTTGTATTCGCTGGGTTAAACGCTGAGGTGTTTGTTGGAATATTTAAAGAAACATACAAACTTACCCACGCCCCTCCCTATTGACGATCTGATTTTTGCGAAGAAGGAGAGCCTAGTCACAAGGGGTATGCTGGTGAAAAGAGGGCGTCAAGAGTAGGCGTCGTAAATAAAAATGCTGATGAATTCCGCGTCTTGAACCACAGCTCAAAGCGGTTCCAGCAGTGTAGTGGTGTTTGTGGCATTCAATTGGAATTATCACCCACTGGCCACCTGCCGCGGCTCTAAAGTCCTAGTTGCAGCCAACGGTCAGAGATGTATTACACGAACTGCTCAAACAGCACGGCTGCTCTGACCAGAAACCGTCACGGGCGCAATGTGGCTCGGGAGGGAGTCATTCGCTGCCGCGGCACGTCGCATGTTCGCGTACCTCAGTGCGGAGCGGGGAATCCGTGAGCCAGGGGAGTGTAGCCAGTCTAGGGGGGTGAAAAGCGGAATGTTCGACATGTGTCCGAAAAACGTGATATGCGCGCAGCGGCGACTGCCCCCCGAGCCACATCGAACCCCGTCACGCAACCGCTCACATTGTGACGCAAAGTACCCTAATGTATTGTCAGAGAGTCATTCCACGAAATTCCTTGGCCAAATCAGTCTGAAGGAGACACTTCTACTTCTCAAAGCGGTCGTAATGCGGTGGTCTTTCTAGCATTGGTGACGCACCTAAGACCGCGATAGGTCACCAGTCAGAAATCACAGTGACATTTATAATGAGCTCCGCTCAATGGCTTACTATTGAACTGGTATCAAACCTGTATCACCTGTCGTCCCGTTGATCATCGAATTGCTCGAGCGGGCGCCAGCAACGTCTCCATTCGTCCCTGTCGCGTGCAAGAGTTGTCCAGTGGACCCTCCTCGCTCGAGGGACACGGAAGTCCTTCATTCCTTTCGTTCAGAGCTTTCGTGAAGAAGTCTGACCATCGGGCCGGCGGTCGTCCAGGTGTTCGTTTGACGTCCCGAGGGATCCAGTCGGTAACCGCTCTGGTCCAACGGTCATCGCAAAATCGCATGACGTGTCCGGCCCACCTTATCTTCGATTCCTTGGCGAAAACGGCAGCGTCCCTGATCTTCATCGTTGGTGTAGCTTCGTGATGCAAACTCATTCTACTTCAGTCACAAATATTATAATAAGTTCGTAATGATAAAAGAAAAAGGATAAAGGATAAAGCATTTGCCGTTGATCAATCCCTTTTGGGATGCGGCACGCATTCTACTTCCATTTGTACATTCGTAGTGGCGTTTGAATGCGATGTGGCCTATACAATGACTTGCGGGGGCCAGCCGATGTACAAGTCAGTGTTTTTATCCTCCCAGACAAGTCTGGTACCAATTAAGCGATCCCGGAGGGATGGAAGAATTGGTTGCCCGTAACGTACACACGACCCAAGGGTTCAATCTCCGACGCGTGCGCGCCTGGTACGGTACACCTGCCATACAACGACTTCCGCCTCCAACGGGACTACTAAATTGGCGGCATATTTTCTCCATTTTGAATCATTTCCACTCGCATTATTTTTCCGAAACAGCCCTTTCAGTAAATTCCAACTCATCTGTAAGCTTTATAGGTGTTATATTTCTTGCGATTCATTAGCTCAAAAATTTTCGGCCAGCCGGGGTGTTTTTGCAGTAGACAACAAAAACACCAGTCTTGAAAAATGTTAATGTATATGTGGGCGGAGGTTGACCCCTTAGCGATGTAACGCTTAGTATTTCCGGACATAGCACGACCCAGGGTTCAAACCCCAGACCGTGCGCGTGGTAAGCGCTTCCGCCCTAAAAGTGAGTAGAGACTGTTGTACAATTAAAGTAGAAAGGGAACTGACATTGTCATTAGAAAGCAGACAATATGTGGTCCATTTCAGCAAAAATTTGGACATATGATTCCATACGTCTTAGTTCTAACTTGAGTAAGGATTCTTTAAAATTTTTTAGTTTTATCGATAAACGCACGAGATTCGTAAAAAACCGAAGTGTGTGTGTGTGGGGGAGGGGGCAAAAGCAGAGCTAATATTATATATGTAGCTCGACCCCCAATCCACGTAAACAGCAATCGATGGAGGTGTCTTTCAATACCCTCCCTTCAAAAAGCGAGAAAGTGTCGGGTGCAGACCATGCACCACAAGTGACGACGGCCTTCACAAAATGTTAATGTTTTCTGCCAATGAAATGATTAGCCTGTTGCAGTTGTATTCTATCGATTGTCACTAATTACAACTATCATTTACCAGAAATCAGCTATCACTATGAACAACTTCTAACCAGATTTACTTGGAGGCCGTCGTCAGTTGTGGTGTTTGGTCTGCACCCGACACTTTCTCGCTTTTGAAGGGGGGGGGGTTATAATGGTTATCCTTGAGCCTGATGAGCTCTCAAATTTTGCGGTATAATTGATCACAATCACCACTCTTTTATACTTACTCGAGACCAGAACGTGCTTATTACGAGGTTAGTTTATCGTTGTGGATCTCACCTTATAATACCAGTCGAATTGGTCAGAAATATTCGTATACGCGTAGTGCAGAGCGACTAGTGTTTTCTGGAACAGGTACCGATAGTCGTCAGGCACGTCCATTAGAACGGTGCTGTGCGGAATTTCCTGTCCCAATTCGACAGTAGTGAAGAACTGACCATGATCACATCGTGGTAACCATGTCTCGTGAATCGCTGGTACCTCAAATATTTCCAAAGTAGAGGAAAAAGACAAAATGGTCGGTTCTTATTGGATATTTCGACATGCGCCATACAACAGCTTCACTTCAGAATTTCAAAGACCGTTGGGCGCTATCGCAAGACACAGGGGCCTTGCGGTGGCAATACAACTAAAACAGCGAAAAGCCTTCCCTTCTTCCTTAATAATGGACTAAGCGTCAGGAAGGAGTGAGGAGTCTCCAGAGTGCGTGAGTAGTTTTCATTTTCCCCGAAATTCCTTGCTCTCTTCCTGAACTTTGTCCTTGAGGTCCCCCCTCCCCTATCTTGCGATTGCGCCGACGATTTTATATTTGTTCACTCAAGACAAAATGGCCTACAATGGCTAATCGATATTCAATTAAGAACAAAGAATAGTGCGTAAGAAATGAATATTTTAAAAAGAAAAATCAATGCTGTTGGGCTCCACCTTCTAGGCTCAAGAAATCAATTGTGGATAATCAACTTCAAAATCAAAAGCGTGCTTGATTTTAGTGGCTTCGATCTGACGAATTTGCAGGTAATTTGAAGTGTTTCATCCATTTCTTCAGTTGCAGTAAGGAGTTGTTGAAAGGAACTCTGTTTGACTCACTTATACGAAGAAAAGAAAACCCTAATCAGAACTGGGGCTGAAAGGCTCCCAACGCATTTTTCGTCGGAAATAAAAAAAGATAGATAGAGTATGACTCATTTCTTCACTTTAAGTGTAGAGAACTCAGACTTGCCCACTAAAACCAATAATTCTCCCTTCAACTAGTGATTTGCAAAACACATTCCGTCGAGCCGGATTCGAACCAGCGACCTAAGGATAGCTGCGACTCTACAGTCCTCCGCTCTACCAACTGAGCTATCGACGGCACATGCACGATTTCCCTGCAACCCCCTCCCATCCTAGGTGCGAATAAAAATAATAAAAAATGTTTCCATTAAAAAGCACCAGAAAATGTTTCCAGGAGCAGAAAAAGACCACATTGCGAGCATAGCCCAGCCTTAAATGTCTAGAAGGGTAAAGTATCGGCATTAATATTTTATTAGAAGTCCCACGCCAACCCCGTAGATCGAAACGAACAGTCATTTCTGAACGCCCGCGTCCTCCTAAGCCCCAAAAAGTTTTAAATGATAAAACAAAAACTCTGTCCTGCCTAACGATGATGAATCATGATAAATTGCAGATAAAACACTTCCTTTCGATATTCCATCTCATGGTGGGGGGGGTGCTTTGACAAAAAAGCTGAGGCAAAAGCGACCCGTAGCGTACGGTAAACTTTCTCAGACACTATTACCTACTACTGTATTTCCTACTACCGTACCTCCATAAAAGAAAACAAAACAAACATGTTTACTAAATTTTCCCTACTTTTTCTTACGTCCATGTTTTCGAACGGTTTTGGGCGTTCTCCCGAAGGAAAGAAAAAAGAATGTAATTTTCGCATACGTATGAAGAGCTCTAATGACTATTTGGCTGAGGTATAATTCTGAGACGAAGTGGCCCTTTTTGATTTTATTACTTTTTTTTATTTCTCTCTCACATACTTATTCAATTTAGTAGCACCACCATTTTAGCAGCTTTATCCTCAATGCAAAGCTTGATTTCAATCCCCGTCTAGAATTCCATTAAATTCTGGTGGATGAAAAATTGGGTTCGATTTTGACGTCACGGCGATTGTAGAATTTCTCCTTCAAACAGTGAACTAAAGAGGAAAATCGACGCTTTTTCGTTGGCACGAGAAAAAGGCTACACAACAGAGATGAGGAGCTGTCAGCCCATCAGAGCTGAAGGAGCTGTCGGCCCGAAAGTCTTCAATTTTTCATGAATTTTGGCACCATGGTTGGGTCAAACAATCTGAGCGAAATAGACTTCCTCTTACTTGCTTTAGTTTGGAGGCGTCGCCACCAAGCTTTTGACATTTGTCTTCACCACTGACCCTGGCATTTGATGTTGGTTCTTAGCGCGAAGCCCCTCTCATATTCCAACAACAACACAGGAAGTTAGAATTTGGAGGAGGTTGGGCTTTCGCCGCCAGAACTCTCAAACTCTTCAAGCTAGGTTACTGCTGCTTGCCAATTCGTTAGAGCACTGCACCCAGTCCACGTTATCAGTGAACATGCTGGATGGTCATTCAATGAACTGCGGGGAATCAACAAGACGATGTGAGATCGTGGTTGGAGCTGACTCTGGCAAAGCTCACTTTAGAACAACTCTAGCATAGTCCAAATTCCTTTTCAAACGCCTCGCAAAACTTCGAGATTGGTATTCACGGGGTGAATAGAGTGTGGATCTTCTCCAATAAAAAGTAGAGTGAACCACCGGTGCGCCGCGGATTTGAGGAGCGTGCCCTCAACAATCTTCTGTTTGATCCTGCCCTGCCTGAGGTGTGGAAGATCCTGATCGGTGTGTAGCAAAAAGAGGGTAAGAAAGAGGTTTTAAAGGAATTGAAATCTAAGCTAAAAAAGCAGGAAGTAAATGAGTCGACTGGCTTCTTGGGTAGGTGTGGGGGGTTGTGGGCTAAGTTACAATTCATGCTAGAGATCTCCAATGCTTTTTGAAAGATTTTTACAGCAACTGATGTCAAGTATCTCAGAATTATGTGTCAGCCTAATATAATATTGTATTATATGAACGACAAAACGAATACACCAGATCATTTGGGCAACTGTGAAGTTCATGAGAAGCTCACCCTGGTGTAGTGATACTTAGGTGTAGTAATCACAAAGCATAGTAGTCGTCCTTTCTTGGGCAGAAGTTCGGCCTGTTTTGAAACCTTGACCCGATCGTACGAAATGACCTCGCTCCTTAAAGCAACAACAACAAACGTTTGATAAAGAATCGGCTAAAAACAGATATCAGACGTTAAGTGCGTGCTAGTGCTATTTCAAAGTGATTCATGTGCAAAATTCCCTCCATGAACGAATAGTGTGAGTTCGGCTGATTTGCGGGGATACAATCATTTTTCGACAGCTATACATATGATCCTGAAGCTAACATGACACATGAACTCCATCAAGTGATGCTATTATTCCGTGATATTTAAAGTGACATATATACTACTTGGACCTTGTAGATGTACTTTTTTAGGCCTAAAATGTGAATTATACCCTATCCGTTCGTAATATTCAAGTAGTTCAGCACAGGGGGGCAATAAAAAAAGACATTTCGTCTCCACATTCAGATGGCTTTAATCATATTCCGCTTGATTCAACCTAAATGGTCCAGAATTGAAGAGCACATATTTGATTTATAAGAAATTCTTCATAGTGGCCACCTGCGTGGACGGCATCACAAAAATTTGCCCCGGAACATGGTGCACTTGCTAGATAACCAGCCTCGATGGGATGTCTTCAAAGTAAAAGGTCGTGAACCATAACGAGCTTCAGCGAAAAGTTAGTTTCGAGGGGCTAATGTATCTAGGAACATTGAATTCAACATTACCCAACATTGAATCGATCAACGAAATTATGTAAGAGCTACAGGGTGAAACAGTTACTTCAGCCCTCCATGAGCTTGACGATGATGACGGATGCGTCATATTCTGAAGATGGTGAGGCAGTGAAGGAAGGCTTGCGTATACCTATAGAGGAACATTCAATGAAATACCTATAGCTGAGCTAAACTTCCTTCACCGACGGCAAGAAACTCTGCGAAGAAAAAAATTGGCAGAATTGGCAACATGGGCAAATGACCTTACATTTTGCCCCCCCCCCATATACAGGGGTGGCCAAAAAAAAGAGACACTTCACTCAACATTCAAAACGGAATTATTTACGCGTCGCGAAACCAAACCAAATGACCCCAACTGAATATTGAAGAGCACGTTATAATCTATCAACAAGCTACACAACAGCCTTCTACACCGACGACATCAGAAGATTTGTCTTACGGAAGCATCGTGCACGGTACGAGCTCAACGAAGTCGTCGAGATACCATAGACGGTTAGACGATTACGACGTCTCTGAAGCGCTGGTCGAGAGCGTCTTTGCGCAGTGTTGACACACATGGTGCCGATTTTAATGAAAGATTGCCGAATTTACAGGCACGTGGAAGGGCGGTAGCGGAAGTGATAAGAGCGCGGTGTTGCAATTGGTTCATCCTCTATGCTAACGTCATCATTGTCCATCGGCTTCCAATGTCGATCTGTCTTGAGGACGGCTCACATGGGATTGAGAAACGATCATCAAGTTGAAGAAAATACTCATCTTAACATAACAAGCATACAACACTATCTCAGGTAAACATGCCCGGCGGGAGCAAAAAGTCGTTCTCCGCGTGGTGGTATCCTACTTGACATGCTGCTTTCCCCGTGTTGCTTGCCCATACGTTTGCGAAATCCCTTGGTGCAGGACGCTCCGAGCAAGACATAAATAAGCTGACGTCGCCTTGTTCGGTTTGTCTCCGCCAAGGGCGACAAATGTTTGGACCTCAACTCATCCCGCCAAGTCGCTTTTCCGCCGTCTGCTTGTGCTTTCTGGTTCGCACTAAATCGTTGTCTTCTCTTGCATGCGCCACTGCTGGGTAACGTCCTTCAAGAAGAACGGAGTCACCCAACGTCATCCCGCTCTCACTCGAGTCCCGCAAGGATATGCTGTATGCGCCCATTCCTAAATAGTGCTTGTCATGTGTGCGTATTTCGCACTAATGCGCCTAAAAATAAGTTTATCTTTGCCTTCGATGATGAAATCACCGCACCGAATCCGCGCGAGGCATGTCCCACCGTCGGCCCTCATCCCTTGTTGGTTACTAATTTCGTAGGGGCCTTAAAATAGTAGTGTTCTTCCCACCTGCCTTTACTCCGGCTGCAAGGTGTCTCGCCGACCTACTTAATCCAATCATCTGTTGTGTCTCCCTCGATCCTCCCTGATGGCATGACGAATCCGGTAGACTGTTATGATCACGTTGACAGCACCAATGCCCAACATGTATGAGCAAGGAGCACCCAATTTTCGGAAAGAAGACGATCATATCGTTTCCATAGTCCCTTCGTGTGGACTTCCATAGTCCACCTTCGTGTGAACCCTTTTGTTGGACAATGGCAGTGCTGAGAGCACTTGCTGGCTCGCAGTAGTCGACGCACCTGGGACAATAAAATGTTTGAACATCGAATACCGTGGTGATGAGTGCGTCCACATCATATCTGCTCTGCAGCATGCGATTCGCATCCCCATCCGCGGCTTCAGTATTAAAGTAGCACCAACGGCAATTGCCTTGCGTACCTGAAGCGAAGTCGTGAGGGGACACGAACTGGGGGTTTTTCATACACAGTTCATCATCTTTGCGTCCGTTGCCCCACCACTCTTGCTCGATATGGCGATATTGCTGATATTGGCGCTACATCCGCTATTTGGAACATATATGCCAGCCTCTTCGATTTCACAATCGGATGTTTCAACGTGGGGCCGTTCGATCGAAGGGCCTACACTGGCATTTTCGGCGTAAGCTCAGTGAATGATCCATCGTAGGAAGCATCCTGAAACAGAACACTTTTTAGGACACAGTAACGAAACCTTTTTGGGTTTTCCCCTCTTCCTACGGGTCGTGATCTTTCTAAAAGGATTCGTTATTCATGGTGCTAGTTTACCAGTGTGTCAAAAGGTACTGCGTGCGACCCTCTCAATCATCGCTTGTTAGGGCACTGTTCTCGCTCATGACCAGTATGTAGGGCCCTTCTCAGGGATTTGACCAAGCTTGGGATAATGGAACGATTACTTCTTTCTGGGAGCGTTCATGCATAACCATCGCCAATTTTCGCCTTTGTGCATACACCTTTGCCTCGATCGTAAGCGATCTTCAGCTTTTAAAACATTCGATCTTTCTGCTCTTCTGCGTAATCACGGGCAAGTAATTGTTGCAGCCGCAACCTCTTGCGTGTAACTCCACTGTACGTATGCTCAGCTCATCGCATCCTCGCATGGTACTGTTTTCCACAGCAGGTATGGGTCGATCTGTGCAGCGAGTGAAAAAGGATTCTCCTTTAGACTCATGAATCGTTGCAGTGCAAGCAAAATACACAAGGGAAGCACATTCCATGTAGTAGACACAGCAGCCTTCTTTTCCTACATTCGAACCAATATTTAGTTTAATTGTTCACGGAGAATTTTATCTCAGGTTGTTCAAGTAAATACGTAGTCATTGCTTTTGCTTCACCAGCCCTGATGCTATGTTCCACCAGTGTTGCCTGCAATCCCTCAAAGCTCGCGTACAACAAAAGGTTAGCGTAATATTTGACGAAATCGCCGCTGCTTTATTGCACTCTTCACTTGTCCTGTTACGTTGGAGTGACCTTAGCAATTTCCCTTCCCAATTTGCAGTCAGTTCCGTCGTGCATGGCAGTATGTTTCCGTAATAACTGACAGGTTTCGCTTCTAAAAATTTCGTAGGCTCAAAGGTCTCAGCAGCTCCCCACTCGGGAATCTTGGCTCCCGCGAAGGCATTTGTTACGGGCAGTGTCATTGCCTGATTTCCACCTTTCCAGGACCAGGAAATTTCCTTCGGTGCGAGACCTTCGGGCCAGATGGGTACAGATTTTTTTTATCTCCCAGTCGTATTTACATTCGTTTTTCAATGGCAATGCGAAGAACGAATTCCTTTGTCCTCCTTCTCTCTTCTTGTAACCTCGGCATGTCAGTTGTAAGTTTAACAAATTTTCTTGTGCCTTACGAGGTTGTTCGGTGGAACTTTATTAATGGCCTAACGTTTCGACTGAATCGTCGTCTTCAGAGGCCGTCGGTTCCACCCTTCGAGCGGAAAAGTCCGCTGCCACACAGAGCGCTGATCAGTTAGAACTCTAAGCTGATCAGTTAGAATTCCTTTGTCATTTTGCGAGTCGTTTCTTTCATTGTGGTAGTGTCGATCTCTTCGAAGGCGGGGAGCATTTGCTGAAAAACTTGTGCAGTTCTATTGCTTGAGCCATATCTCAGCTTTTGAAGTGCATTTGTCCCCAAAACTATCGTAGCGTCTCCCTCAGACATGACGTTTCTTTCAATCGTTGTTTGCAGCATTAGCTTGA